CGCGCGAGGCGGGGGGGGGGGGGGGGGGGGGGGGGGGGGGGGGGGGGGGGGGGGGGGTGTACCTCTGCAGTGACGCTCATGCTGCCTGACACATCCACGCAGAAGACCAGCAGAGAGTCCTCCAGGTTCTGGTAGTCATCCTGGCTGTTGTCCAGCAGATAAAGTTCATCGCTGCTCTCACCATCAGAACCACTGACCCACCGTGTGGTCACAGCAGGGTCTGCTCTGTTTCCACAGCCACAGAAGTCGCACACCCACAGCTGGAGAACACCAACAGCACAAACCCAGACAGGTGAGGTAACAGCAGGGAGGTAAAGGTGAGGAGGGGGTGGGGTTGGAGACTAGAACAGCTTACATTGTTCTGTATGGTAGTCAGACTGGACCAGGCAGCGCTGCATTTTCCACAAAACACAGGTCTGTGATAGGTGGGCTCAACTGAGGCTAAGGATCAAATGAAGGATTAGCACATAGCGCCGTTAGCATCAGCGTAAGTTTTTACTATGTCCTCCTTTTGTTTTGATTAACACTGAGTTTAGAACAAATAATGATCTCTACCTTTTTTGTTGTTTTATTGTTGATGTGTTTTTTCCCCCTGTGTGTGTTTGTAAATGTGTGTGAGTGCATTTGTGAGTGACACCTCTGCTGATGTCCACTAGGTCCCCCACACTTAGTGACACCACGTTGATGTTGGACCACTGTCCTGCTGCCTCCTGTCTCCTGGCTGGCATTGGAATAAAAAAAGAGGAGAGAGCAGTCAGGTGACTGTCCCAGATGGAACAGGAGAAGGGAGTCAAACTCACCTCTGGGTGGAACCGGGGGAGGCTCAGAAGGGCGAGGCTTCTTCAGTCGACGAGGAGGTGGAGGAGGCGGAGCTGGAGAGATTTAGTGAGTTTAAGTTGACACAAGGTCAAACACGCACACACATACACATTTGTGTCCAACAACCAGAAAGTTGGAGAAAAATGTAAACTAAGAAGAAAGGACACAAAAGTGACATCAAAGAAGAGAGACAGAAAGAGAAAAGGCCGAAAGAAACAAAAACTGTGGTGAAAAGAAAAATAAAGGAAGCATCAAAGAATAGAACTGAAAGTGTGAAATGAGCACAAAATGTCAGAACAGGTTACGGTGTGTGTGTGTGTGTGTCGCACCTCCTGGTTGTTGAACAGTCATTCTGTTGTCATATTTAATCGGAACAGCAGGAGCTGCAGACTCTGAAATGAACATTTGGTTAAACCTCTCCATGTCCTACACAAAACTCCATAGAGAAAACTAAAGCTTTAGCTCACAGAGACGAATGAATTGCTTGATTCATTGCTGCCTCCTGTAGTCAGTTTATGTCACTGATTTAATTCCAAATAATGAATTTAAATTCCAAAGGCACAATAAAAAACATTTGAACTCATTAATGGAGGAAGCAACTAACCTGGAGTTCCCGGTTGTTAAAGTCAGTCTAACAGTTACATAAAGATGTAAACACTTTCTTAAGTTACCATAGACTTCATCTGCATTTGTTTGGTTCTTTATGTCTGTTGTTTCATGTCTCCTAAATGTTAACACTAAAATCACAACTTTTTGTGTGTACATTGTTGTATCTACATTCAGGTTCTTTGATAATACCAAATAATAATTTCACAATCTCACCTGCTCTTGCCGACGTCCAGTTACAGACAACATGGCTGCAGCCAAACTCCATCTGTGGCAGACAACATCATTTACAGAGGTTTGTAGATGGACATTTCTTTTTTCTCATTTAGGGAACCTGTGTGCCCACTGCTGCCTTCTGTGGTCAGATTTATTAAAGGACTCGAAGAAATCTAAAACATTCAAACCATCTCCTGAAAATGAAACTTCAGGTTGGTGGACAAAAACGTCAGAGGAGTGCAGGCTCGGAAGATGAAACTGACGTAGCTCTCTTCCGCTGAGTCTTTGGTCGAAAAGTTAAATTCTTTCTTACTTGTGGCTGTGACTGTACTTCACAGTGTAAATCTAAATTAAAACTTTTAGAGGAGCTTTTAAAACCCGATTTCCTAGAGGAACCACATATTTGGCCTCTGCAAGAGGAAGCCTGTTGCAGCAGATCTGCTGTTCCCACAAATATGGTGTCAATAAAGTTCAAATTATTATTATTATTATTATTATTTAATTTATGTAAGAAGAGAAGCCAAAATAAAACAGAAAAATATTTACCTTTGCTGTGATCTGTGAGCTGATGAGCCGACAAACTGAAACTGTCTTGTTGTTTTTCAGGTTTTCGTCTCTTACGTGTGGGTGTACTTGTCGCAAGCATTTGTCAGTGACAGGAAGTAGAGGTGGTGCAGACAAAAGACAAAGAGTTATAAAGGAAGAGACAGGAGAGAAAAAGAGTCATAATTTCTAGAATAATAACTATATTATAATAATGGAAGTGTTGTGCATGTATTCTAAGCTAGTAGAACCAGTTCCTTTATCTGTTCTCACTTTTCAGACTTCATTCCTTTCATGTTTTGTCACCACCTTTACTTTTCGTAAACCGCGCACAAAACCCATGATGATGTCATGGTGAAAACCTGCTGTGACAGAATTAAATAAAATGGTCCTAAAAATTAATGAACTGACAGGACAACAAATAAAAATGTTTTTGTTAAAACTGGAAAGAAACGGCAAGCTAGAAGTTAGCCTAGAAACAGCTAACGTTTAACAAAAAGTTGCTGTCCCTGGTGTGAGAAGTGCAGAGAAATAATTTATGTATTTTTTATTTCTTGTATTTGAAGAAAAAAGACACAGCCAGCAGTGATTATTCAATATTAAGTATAATTATATATGTTATTGTTCCAATCAGATGATACCCCTCTGTACATACAGACTTTTCTGTATTTCAGTTATTACTGGAATGTTGAGTCTAAAGTTTAAAGTAGTTTTTAATATTACTTTTCTAAACATTTTACTACAGTGATCACAGCTTTCATTTGGATGGTCGTGTGATCTTGACTTTTTCAATCCTGCCCCTGCAGGGACTCCAAAACTGCTCCAAAAATGGCTGCCACAGCCACAGCGCCAGGGTCAGGCAAAGTGACTCGTTCTGCTGGGATGTAACTGGCTCGACCCGCCCTCGCCGTGAGGTAACGAGTTGATTCTGCCCCCGCTGCTGCTTTCTATAAAGAGGACACAGGTGAGAGAAAAAAAACCCGCTGCTGCTTTCTATAAAGAGGACAGAGAGAAAAAAATTCAGAAACTGAAAACAGTTCCACGAATTTTTACCTGAGTGTACAAATATGTGTGTATGTAATTGGCACCTGCACTGCAGCCTGCAGTGCCACTAACTTTCCACCAGGGGGAGCCAAATTCAGCTTCATGAACTCGTCCACAGCAGGACACAATGCGTCCAACTGGAAGAGAACAGTTACAAGTGTGTCAACAGAGAGACCAGCTCAAAGTGTAGATATATTAGCTCGAATTATGATTCAAAAAGGTAAAGGTACAAAAAAAGGTGCTTGAAGATTTAAGGCTACATTTGAAGAATGCTTTGCATTAAGAAGGACTTAAATTTGCCTTTTAGTTACCAGTACATATAAAAGCAGATGTGAAAACTAAAACTAAATTATTTCAGCTGTGACGGAAGAAAGAAAATGTAAAAAAAAATCCACAAAAGGTTCTGACCATGGTTCTGTCTCCAGGATCAGCTCCACCATATCTGACAAAGGAGACAAGACAAAAGTTTTTCTGAGTCAGAAAGTTTTTCCACAGTTAAAGTTTTTAATACAAAAGTTAATGACAACATACCTCCTCATGGCCTCTGTTCCAGCATGCAATGCAGCGGTCCAGGCTGCAGCGTTGCTCTGCCCCTCAGTCACATGACTTGCAGCGGCAGTCAGAAAGAGACTGTAGAGCTGTGAGGGACAAAGTAGGCTAACAGTTAGCATTAGCACAGAACACCACAAAATGATATGACCAAATGTAATTTGATCAAATATATTGAAACTAAAGTTAGGAGAGTGGTCTGTGTGTGATTGATCATCATCTGTGAGAACCTACGGCTCCTGAAGACCCGCCCATCTTCTCCTGGACCAATCCGGCCAAGACAGAAAGGAGTTTACCAGGACAGCCAGGAACCACATGACTCTGGAGCCACTCCTGGATGGCTGTAAAGAACATGACATCACCACACCTGTTGGTAGGTTGATCAGGTTCTGGACGTGTGCTGCTTGTTGTCGTCCTTCACTTCTACCTGTGGCTGCCTGAGCGTGAGTGTTTCCACAGTCTCCGTCTCCAGCCGCTCGATCCAGGGAATTCAGTTCCTCCTGTTTGTTCAATAGTGTGAAACAAACATGCTCCAAACTTTTACGCATCACAGTACTCAGTGGACCTGAGGAAATCAGAAAAAATTGTATCTGAACCTATGGCGGAAGAAGCAGTGGATCAACAAATGACAGCTAAAAGCTATGATTTCCTCGATGGACTGTGCTGGAATTACACAAACACCAGGTAACCAACCTTCACAGTGTGTATCATCCTTTGCTCCTGGTCCCGTAGGTGGTGGAACTGTGATATAATCACGTCCACTGACACAGACCCGGCTCAGATTTGGCCAAGCTGGGGCAATGGTCTTAACATCTGTAGAAAATAACAAGAAAGTGCTCCATTGATTGTAAAAAGTCTTTGTTTGTATTTCTTACCAACTTCCTCTTGTGTGTGTGCGTCTATTTCTTACCAACTTCCTCTTGTGTGTCTGCGTCTTGTGTCTGTGTTATCTTACCAAACAGCTCAAGTATATGTTCGTCGGCTACCATCAGCGTCAGTGACATTCCCGCCATCTCCAGTGATGTCATGAACGACCCTGACATCACTCTGACAACCATCAGCCCCCGACTCTCTGTAAGCATGGAAACCCAGGGAACATTTCACCACACCCTCACGCTGCGCCTCTACAGGCCACAGTTGAAGTTGAAGCTTTCTCTCCTTTAAGCTTGTTTACGTATTTGGCTAACTTTGAGCTACATTACTGTCAACAAAGTTCTCACCCAGACACATGACAGCAGCTCGAGTAACAACAGCCATCTCCAAACAGGACAGACCTCCCAGGTTGTTCACACACACAACCACACTGTCTCCTGGAGGAACACATACACACACTGTTAGATTCAGTAAAATGTTGTGATAAACATTATTACAGTGACAGTTTTCTGAGCACCAGGATTCAGTGGCAGACATGCTTGGCTGTCAGGGTTGGTCATGTGAGCGATCATCATTCTCACCACCTCATCTGCAGAAGTCACCTGAGAAGGGACAAAATAAGAGGCATTAAAAGCAACATAGTAAAATGTGTTTGTAATAATGGCACAAAGATCTAAAGCTGCTGAATCACCGTAGAACGTTTGATTCCAGGTTCACCATGAATCCCTGGAAAAAGAGAAAACATGGTTTGAAAGAATAGTTTAACTGGACAGATTTAATACAATACAACTGTTGCAACAACATTTTACAAAATCTGTTCACTTCTATTTGTCACTATCAATCATACTTTCTCTACAGGATACTGAAGTTTATCAACCACTCACTCTACCAAACCAAACTTCATAGAGAAAATCACTCATTTTAGATCAGAGACACAGCAGCTTTTGATCCCCTGCTGCCTCCATCACTATGTTCAAATGTGCTACTATGTGACATGAACGTTTGAAACCTTACATTCAGGTTTGACGTAGTGACACAAACTGACCACAGAAGGCAGCAGTGGGCCAGCAGCTCCTTTCTGAGAGTTTAAATCAGTGATTTTCTTTAAGGACTCTGGTGTTCCAGTGTGACCAGTGAGACAAAGGTGTGAAGAGATTTAAGAGACCAACCTACCCAGTCCCAACTCCATTTCCCCTGGAGGGAGTTCAAATGTGGGACGGCAGCCTGGGACGCTGCAGGGAGACAGACTTACTCCCAGTGTCCCTGGAAAACCAACAAACAATGTGGTGTAACTGGGAAAACATCTTTCAGTGAGTGCAGAGCAGAAAAAACTCACCCATTGCCTTTAACACCTGCGTCATCTTGACAACAATCTGATCCAAGGAACAGCCACGGTCTGCCATGGCTCCTGCCAGCTGATGGAGTCACACGACAATGTCATCAGCATAGAAAAGAAACAAACTTAGCCATTACTACATTATTATATTACAGACACACACATTTGTTAACCAATTTCAACACATATTTTAATTTAAAATATTTAGTATAATGTATTGCACAATGGCTCGAAGCTGGGAATGGCATGGCATGGCTAAACGTGGGGCAGTATTGTAGAATAACTGGCTACGGGCTAGCAGGACTTTTTGCTAGAAAGCTAAAAGTTAGCAGGACATTTTGTTGAAAGGCTAAAAGGCAATATCAACAGCCTAAAATATAACAAGCTAGTTAACGGATTAAGAATGGATGAAGATAAAGTCCAATACAAAATATTCTTCTTCAACGATTTAAAATGTTTTAAACATGTGCTTTAAAACTGGACCAGACTGGAACTACAGTTTGTTTTTCTGCATGTGTATAACTACATGACTACTACATAACCGTGTCTGTCCGCTGATATTCCTGTATAAAAACAAACATAACTGAAGGCAGCATGTCTCCACCTTGTGGATAAAGATGGTCCCGCATAGGCCCCTCCTCCCAGCTTTACTGATTGTGTCAAAGGCACAATCCTCTGCTACAATCACCATATCCACCACCACACCACGGTTCCTGGCCTGTTCTGCCGCTAGACCAAAGTTCAGTCTGTCGCCAGTGTAGTTTTTAACGATGAGGAGGACGGCAGACGATCCTAGGGAAGATGAGGGAGTGACATGTTGCAGCCTGAATATTAATGTAAATATTGTAACAGTAAATATTGGCAATCTGCTCTTCAGGAAATAGCAGGAAAAATCCTAATATACCTGCCTGATGCAGAGTCATGATAGCAGCGAGGATACTGGCAGGAGGAGGCGATGCAAAAACTCCTCCTGCTACGGCAGCAGACAGCAATCCCGCCCCCCCGCCTGCTCCGACGTAACCTGGAAACAAAGTAAGATTGTAAAGACGAAAGCCTAGAACTTCATCGTTGAAATATCACATATTTACCCCCATGAGCAGGCTCGTGTCCTGAGCCACCTCCTGACAGCAGAGCCACCTTTCCTCTCAGGTGCTCCAGGTCAGAGCGGATCACAACTCTGTGACCTTGCAGCATACAGAGGTCAGCGCTGGACCGAACCAGACCACAGAGGGCTTCATCTACACAGTTGTCCACGGAGTTTATCAGCTTCCTTTGAGGCTGACAAACAAAGGGTCACCTCATTATTACACCTCTGAAGACACAAGTTATGAAGGTAAAACATGGCTCAGTCTGCAAATACAACAGGAATGATTTTATCACCAAAAGCCTCAGCAGAAATCAGTGATTTTAGCTCACAGAGACACAGCAGTTGCAGACTTCATAATCATTAAAGCACAGTATGTTAAGATTTTATCACCATGACACAAACTGACCACAGGAGGCAATGGCGGACCAACAGCTCCTGTTTCTGTGAGCTAGTGGTTTGTAAATTTTGCTGATGATAAGTCTGTCTAACAATAATTTGATACTATATTCTTGTTACCTGTTTAAAACAATAATTATTTGTCTGTCCCTTAAATATTTCTTGATTTAATTATAAGGTAGTGATTATCTGCTGTGCATTAATTGTTAATTGTGTTACATATAACGATTTGTTACTTTAACTAACTTATACACTAACACTATACACAGAGTCCACTAGCAAGTGGACTCTGATCTCTGTGAATGACAACTTGTGCTAATGCTAAAATGCTAACAGAGTTCTGTTAAAATACAATGCCAAGTTATCTTAAGACTTAGTCATTATTTCTTTAATGCTGTAAAAAAAAAACTTTAGCAACGGCGGTCATTACTTTTTACCTCCATTTTGACATTTCTTGGTTCTTTCTGCTCCCGATGTACAGAAACCACCAGCGTCAAGTTAGAAAATGTTATTATTACAGTACAGCCTGAAATAATGTGCCAACCCTTCACAGTAAATGTACGCCAGTTTTGCTGCTTACAAACGTTATTAAATTAATGTTATAAAGACATTGCCTCTCAGATGTACAGGTCAGATCTAATATAATGCTGCTGGTGACGTGGTACCACAGTTTGATTCGACCAGTGCATCGATTTTATAAAAATGTTTTGACCTTACATTTAAATAACCTTAATAAATATTACTTCAGTGACGTGACAACGGGAATTGTCCTATTTTGAAAACAGCCAATATTTTGAATTGTAGAAGAAAATCTATTATTTTTTAACTTATTTTTACCAAACAAAATCCAAGCTTGATAGTAAAAATGTAGAAATACGTTTTTTGTTGCAGTAATTCTATTTCCGGTCCCGTCTCTCCTACACGCTTGACTCCGCCTCTTTCATGCAATTTAAATGTAGTTCACAGGCGGTGCTCTGTAAGTCCACCGAAAACACCCTCCGTCACTGAAGAAGTCTGCGGTTACACCGGCCTCGGTTCTATTCGGCTGGACTCGGATCAGTTCGGTTTGGATCAGCTTGGCCCCGGTCCAAAACAACATGCAGGATGTCGAGCATGGAGACAGCAGCCGAACACGAGCGAATTCTGCGGGAGATAGAGAGCACCGACACAAACTGCATTGGACCGACGCTGCGGTAAGTAAAGTCTGCATTCTCCTTTCAGCGGCTGCTGTCAGCTTCTTCGCCCAGGTGCCCCTTCACTCTTCCTCCTCCCATCCCATCCCCTCCCGGCAGCCGTTAGCATAGCAGCGGCTAAATCCAAGTTTAGCCGCTTCCCACCAGTTGTTTCAAACTTCAACGCTCATGGTTCCATTTTCGGACAGCTAAGAGGCTAACTTTAACAAACATGTAGAGAACTTTGTGGAATGTTTGTTAACGTTATTTCAGATTCATACAATGACTGCATATTATCAGAGTTTTAACGACGTTTATTGTATTAAGTCGTATTTAAGATGTTTTAGTTTTTTCCAGCTTTGTTATCGTCACACTTGTTAACATGGGGTTTGGCTAATTCTTAGCTAATTGAGCGAAGTCATTGACGTCGGTGCCGAGTGTTGTCACACAGAGCTCAGATTATTAGCTGTTGTGGTGACGGGATTATAATCACTTCTGATCAATTGTGTCGTGTGTTTGACATTATCCTGACGATGTCGTGCTTGTTCTGAAAGTTGCCAGTTAGCCTGCTGCTAACCCTGCAGCTGAAGTCAGTGACTGTCCAGAGCAGCAGTTTGGAAAAACTGACACGGTGTGGAATCAATGAGAAACTCTGGTCTAAAGGCATTGCAGGTCAACATTTTATTGTCAGTGACTCTGTAGGTGTTACTTTAAGTTGCCAAACTGCAAAGTATCAGCTGATTTATTTAAGTTTCAGCAGAGTTTAAATTATTTCAGAAATCACTAAGAGCATCTTTTTGGACAAACTAGTTAATTTCTTTTCATGATTTTTTTTCTAAATTTCTAAATTATAGCTGAAGTAATTTTAGATTGTAACAATAAGGGAAATAAAAAATCATTTTTTGACACACTGCAATTGAACCATGTCTTTTTCTTTTATACAACCTTTTTATTTTTTGCTAAAATGTCCTGTGACTCATGCTAATTTTTAGTTAACACTAAATTAGTACCAAATATTTGTTACTTTTCCCCCATTAAAACTTTTGTAATTTTTTTTATTGTTTCATTCCAATTTCTTGTTATTTGGAAGTATATCTCTTAGAAAGACATTTTAGAATCTAGTGTTAGTATTTCTTTAATGTTCACATTGTTATTTTGGGATTAAAAAAAGTTTTTATATCTTGCAGTGTTTTATCTATATCTTCAGCAACACTTTCATAGTTCATAGCTGATTTGACCATAGCTGTTTATAGCTGATTTGATCCAAACTCAGAGTGATGATGGTCTTATTATTGGCTACTTTTGCTTCATTTAACTCTTTAACATCCCCCAACTATGTTTTTGGATGAATATCTTAGCCATAGTTTCAACCATTCAAAAATCATCCAGTTGTACTGTAAATATTTATCCTTTAAATTCCAGATTGACTTATCTTTTGCATAGTGAAAGTAAAAAGGAGCCTGAAAATGTATATGTAGGTTTTCCTCCTTATTGAACAAAAATGATGAAATTCCTCATCAGCATTTTTTCTATCCTTTATCCTTTTTATTCTTCTAGTTGTTGACCCCAGCCTATCAGGTGTCTTCCTGGTTGTGTACCACAGTCTGAATTTGAATAATATCAGTCCAGTGTTGAAGCCTGTTAGTATCTGCACAGTTCACATATCACAGTCAGGTTTGAAGTTGTGGTATCTCTCTCTGTCTTGCAAACACACACAGAGCCCTGCCTGTTGTTTGTAGTGAATCTAAATGCCCGTCAGTCTTTTAATGGTAGCTTCATTATTTTGGAGTTGAAGCTGAAGCATGAATGACTCCTCTGTTCTGGGTGGAGAAAAGAAAGATCTGTGGTGGAGGGAGAAGCCACAGCTTGGTTTTGAGTGTTCGTGTACAGACATGCCGTAGTGAGAAGGTTAGCTAATAGTGTTCACCTATTAGAGTTATTTATATATATATATATGTTTTTAAATGCTTTGCCTCTGGAAAAAAATAATCTAATTTGCTGCAATGCTCTAGCGAACACCCCATTTAAGTCACAGAAAAAATATCGATATATATCAAGTATCGCCATACAGCTTAAAAATATTGAGACATTATTTAGCGTATCACGCAGTCCTTGTCAGGGCTGTTCACAAGCACCGGCTGCTGGCCATAAAGCCGAATACACAATTAAGTGTAGTGTAATAATATGCTCTGCTTGTACTGATAATAACTACAAATTACTCTGATCACCACCGACAGTTAGTTTTCTGAGGTCATTGGAGGTAAGAAACAGAGCTTGCCACAACATTATTTTATTATTGGTAATCCAGTCTACTCTTCAGGTGTTCAATTAACACCACCCAAGACGTGCTGGCATCAAAAGAATGTGTTTCATGGTATATTTAGTGCCTTGGAAATTCTTTATTGTGAGAAAAAACCTCTAAATGAATAACATGACGCTGTATATGAAAACTTACACATGTGCCTTGGAAATTCTTTATTGTGAGAATTAAAAAAAACCTCTAAATGAATAACAGGACGCTGTATATGAAAACTTACACAACCTGTATTGAGCTAAGAATGGAAGTGGCAACCCTATGTGTTATAATAATGTATTTTTTTGTGCGACTTACTATTACAGCAAATACACACATGAACATAAGGATGCACCAATCCACATTTTTTTCACTTCCTATCTGATCCCGATATCCTGGATATGGATATTGGCCGATACCGAAACATTCCTGATACTATTGCTTTTATATTATTGTTATATGCATTCCCAAAAGGCACCTTGAGGTTAGTATAAGGTCAAAGGAAGTCAGCAATACAGGAAACCATCCTTAAAACAAATATGCAAGTGTATGAGTTTGAAATTGAACATTTTATTAAGTGCAAGGTAAACATCTTACAACAACATGTGCATCTGCCCTTATTCAATTAATTGCTGGCTACATTGACGGTTGGAAAACATTAATAATTGGAGCATTAATAAAAAAAGGGGCCTTGTCTGTCCTTGTATCGCTCGTCCAGGACAAGCGTCCGATTCATTGTTTTCATTTCGCTGTCAGTGCTGCTCTCCTCAGCCAACCCTTTCCCACAAGAAAGTCTTCAAATGGTCACGGGTAGAATTAAACCTGCTACAAGTACGTACTTCATCTGTCGGGAATTTACCTTGCTTTTGAAACGATGGAAGTGACTTCTGGCGGCTCTTTACGTCTTTCTATCCCATTACGCATTCACGTCCTCTTTGATGAGGCGCTTTTTATGGTCGTGTATGAAGAGACGGTTATACCTCATGAAATTCGGCTTTACAAGTATCGCATGTTGCTGTGTGGTTTTCGGTCGTTTCTAATATTATATTTCCACACAGTGGACGTATTTCTTTGGATCCTGTTATCTGGCTGCAAATTGTGGAGTGGATATCCTGAACTGCGGCGTGCCTTGCAATCTTGTTGAGTCACGTTCTGTTCAGGAAAGTGATTCCACAGTTTACAGTCATCTAACAGGAGTCAGGAATCAGACGAGGCTGGAGCTCAAACATGGTTCGGGGATCGGAATTCTTTGCAGGTTAGATCGGATCTGCCCCATCCCTATATGAACACTTGTGAAATCACTCCAAACACAGTAATAAAGAGGCTAAAGAGATAACAAGGGCTGTGGCTATTGCATTGCTAAAGATATGCTGCCACTCCACTGTGGAAAAAGTGGGTTTCCAAAAACTAATGAAAACAGTTGACCAGAGATACAGTTCAGCGTTTAGATGGCTGGTCATACCAGCGAGTGAAAACATGCACTAGTGTGTGACATTCTAGTCACTGGTTAATTTGCACAGACACGATTATATTTAATAATAATCACTGTTGTTACTTCTGTCTTCTAACCTTATTTGTCCTGTTTAGTTTTAATGTGTCTGTGCAACAAGAGTTACTGATGAATTTTTAATGTTAACACATTTCAAACATGGCTGATTGGTCACTAATCACATCTTTCTATTTGAACCTATTACAATAAAGACGTTAGCTTGACTGATGATCTGTAAGTATCATATTAGAACACAGGGTAACTGATTTAAAGTCAGAAACATGAAAGTGCAGTTGTGATCTATTCATCATCATATTTATCAGCAAAATGCCATAATCGGGAATCTTTTTTTTTTTTTAACCAATATCGTCCAACACTAGTACTGAGCATGATACTGATATTATTATTTTTCAACTGTGTTTGTGTGGTGTTGCTCTGACACAGCTGTCAGACTAACAGTATCTGAGTCATGGTCTGGTTCAGTGCCCCTCAATGTTTACTGTCTGTCCATGGTTTAAATCCATTTTAGTGACAAAGATGAAAACCACAGTTTACACATGTTAAAAAACTTTATTTATATCCACAGTCTGTAAGAACAGTTCCTGAACACACACACACACACACACACACACACACCCAGCCACCCCTGTGTTTTTGTGTCTAAAGAACACAGTGGGTGACGTCAGACCTGAGCGCTATTGTAGGAGTCGAGCATTTCCTGATCAACAGGAGGAAGGGAGGGATAACCACAGGTGTGTGTCTGTGTGTGTGTGTTGTGGTATGTTCTTGTGGGGATATATTTTTGGTAAAATGCATTGTTGTGCGGAATGGTTGAGGTCCCGACTAAGAAACAGGGTTAAGGTTAGATGGATGGATGACTTTATTCATTACCAAAGGAAAATGAAGTTGTCAGAGCTGTCCGGTATAGCAGTGTAAAACACCAAGGTAAATAAAAACAAAAATACAGAATAGTACAAGGACATTTACAAGAATCACAAGATGAGTAGATGGGTAGCCAGCTGGTTATAATAATAGGTTTATGTTACTGTTAATAACATTATATTCCAGAATATATATATATATATATATATATATATATATGTATATGCTACAATATAATATATTGTAGTTTGCAAATAAACATATATATATAATACATAGTATTATGTACTATACATTATATATACTTCTATATACTGTTATTAAGGTTAAAGAGGTAAGATAAAGAATATGGTTTGGAATTAGGATTAGAGCTAGGTCCGGGTTAAGGTTTTAGGGAATGCATAATGTCAGTGTGAAATCCTCACAACTCATAAAAACTAAAAGACTCCGTGTGAGTCTTATTGTGAGTGTATACAGGAGCTTATAGAAACCATACCACTTTTTAAAGCCATACTGAATTTATTACAAAGGTTCTTTGTGCTTTGTTAAAAACACAAACAGTTTCTTCAAGAATAAAAAAGCTTTACTCATTTAATGCTTCATCTAACTGTGTTGGACATGTAGATAAATAACTCCCAGAATCCCTTGCTGCTGTGAAACATCTGAACTGTTACTATTCCCACTTCTTTACAAGAATCCTCTGTGTTGCGACGCTGCCCTCTAGTGGTGGTCAGGGGTCACAGACCTCTCAGAAGTTCTCAGAAGAAACTATTAGAGTGGCGCTTTGGCCCAGAGGTAATGTCTCTGTCATTGTTGTGTCAGTCAGTCAGAACTGTTGTTCCTCATAAGAAGCTAACTATTAGACAAAATAATGCCAGATTAACTAAAAGGTGAATCAAGGAGTTCAGCAGTCAAAGCGTAGCCTGTACCAAAATGTTATAGTGTTGTAGGAGGTAAAAGTTCTCCAAAATCTTCAGCCCCTCCTCACCTGCTGTTCTCCTGCAGCTCGGTCTACGACGGTCAGGAACATGGTCTGTTCATGGACAAGCTGGACATCCGCATCAGGAACCACGACAGGGACATCGAGAAGATGTGTAACCACCATTTCCAGGGCTTCGTGGACTCAATCACTGAACTGCTGAAGGTCAGAGGAGAGGCTCAGAAGCTGAAGGTGAGGATGGAGGAAAGATTGACTGCATGGGGAGGGACATATGTTGGACATGAAGGGACAAATTAGTTAGATGTCCACTGCCCTCAGTCCTAGCTACCATTGACTAGTTTTCTCACAAACTGTGATGAGCGTTAACCCATAGAGACATGAAGATGTTTGGATTCGTACGATGTTTCTGACTGTTTTGTTCTCTTCCAGAGTCAGGTGACAGAGACAAACAGACGTCTGCAGGAAGATGGAAAAGAGGTAAAATCTACGGCTCTATCACAGGGAACATCTTATCTTCAGAACGTAGATTGGTTTTGTGTAGAACATTCTTGAGATAATGAATAAAAGGGAATATCTCGGACTCTGTTTCCAGCTGCTCAGCTCTGTGGAGGAGTTAAAAAAGTGCCGAGTTCAGCAGAGAAACATCTCCACCACCATTGACAAACTGTCTCATTGTTTGCCAGGTAGCATTACACACACGCACACCTATATCTCCACCATATCACCTCAATCTCATGATAAACTTTCAGACAAACACTGACTGTAGATCTATGTGATCTTTGCTTTATATAGATCATTCTCTGTGTACGTTTCTTTGTGTTTCTGTGTTTGTGTGTCTGAGAGTTTGCATCTGTATGTGTGTTTGAAGAACATCCAGGTCTAACTCCCCTCCTCTTTAGTTCTGCAGATGTACAGTCGACTCCAGGAGCAGATGAAAGCCAAAAGGTAAACAATTGATTTTTGTTTTTACCAATGATACCATTACTATGTATTTTTATAATAATAGATTCTTCTGTAATGACAATGGTAAAATTTGTTTGTTCGAACCTCTGATAATCCCTGATAAATTGACAAGATTAGATGATTTTCATGAAGCATTTTTTCCAAAAGTCACAGCTATAAACAGCTGGCGCTGCTTTTCCAGTAGTCAGATGAATAGATGGATAGATAGATAGATAGATCTTCAATTCTTTAGGCTGGGACTTCTTTAAATTAAGCAACTTTTTCATTTATTATTTTTATTTATCTGTTTTCTTTAATCTGAATAGTTCTTAAAGTCTTAAATTTATTTATTATTATTATTATATTTATTATTTACATGAGACTGCTTTCTTTTATAGTAAAAGAGCTAGCTGTGAACTCAGTTAAACATCTCCTGCATTGAAAATTCAAGATAAATATGGTTAAAATATACAAATATAAACATAGGGGAAATCTATAACAGACAAGCTGGACTTCGATTCGGACATTTTACTAACTGGATCTACGTGACTTTTAATTCGATACCCTTGCCCATACTAATAAACCATTTTCTGTTGCTGCACCTGCGTCGGCCGGTAGATGGAGACAGAGCTCATAAGAAAACGTCTCCTTTTCTCCGCGTGTACGCGTTTGTGTTTGTGTGCGTGCGCGCCCTTCATGTGACCTGCAGACAGGAGTCTGCTGCCTCATAAATTTGTCGTTTGTTTGTGTGTTTTTCTGCTTCTCTCTGTGCTGTGGCTGCTGGGCTTAAGAGAGCAGCCAGAGGTCAGCCAACACACAAACTCTCTGTGTGTGTGTGCGTGTGTGTGCATGACCTTCAAAGGACCCGTTTTGGTGTAGAACACAGTAGTTTCCAGGGTCTGTAGTCCTCATGTGGTTCATAGTCTGGACCTCATGAACAAAACCAAACTTCTCAGGTTCTGTTAACATGTTAGATCAGGGGTGCCCAAAAGGTAGATCTGGATCTACCAGTAGATCTCAAAGGGAGTGCTGGTGGATCCTGAGCAATTACATTTAAAGAAACAAAACAAAAAGTGCCATACAACTTCAGCCATTTAATCAAAGTAGTAAATATATATTTATAGTTTTCAATGTAGGTAGATCACTTTACCCTGGTCATTTGAAGCCGAAAAAGTGTGTCCACCTCTGTGTTAGAGGGACCGTAAGACAATAACGAAGAATATTTTCATTCATTTGCAGAAGCAGAAGGCAGCGTTTTTTTATTCTCTCCGTTATTCTCAAGTCCATAGAGAAAATCCTGGATCTAAGCACAGAAAGACATGGCAGTTGTCAATCTACTACAACCTCTATCACTATGTTCAAAGTGTTATTTTCTGACTTCACTTTTTGCTGTCCTTTGTTAAAGTCCTCAGTGACAGCGACTGACCACAGGTGGCAGCAATGGACCAGCAGCTTCAGTGTCTCTAAGCTAAAATCACTGCTTTATCACTACGGACAGGTTTAACTAACCAAAGCTCTGTTTGTTTGTCTGTGTAATGCAGTGAAGTGTTTTTTCTATGCTTTTATTTCTAGAAATCTCTTGTGTACAATCACACCATCTTACCTTTGTTTGACTTGTGCGTGTGTGTGTGTGTGTTTGCGTGATCTGATCTAATGTGTGTAACTTCAGTTGTCAGCATTGGCACTGCTGAAAAAGATTCACTCAGGAAACATTTTTGTCATCGTTGTCAGGTACTACCCAGCACTGAGGACCCTGGAGCAGCTGGAGCAGACCTGTCTTCCCAGAGCGGGCCAGTACCGATTCTGCTCCATAATGGCTGAGAATATTCCCAAACTGAGGACACACATCAGGGACACAGCTATGACACAGCTCCGGGACTTCTTGGAGAGCATCCGCAAACATTCAGACAAGATCGGAGAGATGGCCATCAAACAGGTACACACACACTCACACACATGGGCATAAGAATGCACACACTTTGTTCCTGTAATGGTAATGAATATATTGTAGTTCCTAGTACTACATTGTGGTACCAGTTCCTGGTACTGGTTCCTTGTACTGTATGTTCTTCCTTGAACCAGTTCTGATTCTGGTACTGTTTTCAGTTTGTGGACCAGGTTTATTTGGTGGAAACTGACCCTGAACTTTGTGTGTGTGTTTGTGGTTCTTTGGCCGGTACTTTGCCGTTGCCTGTCAGTAAAACAGTCACACTTACACATGCACGCTCTGGTGTGAAAAGAAACAGCTTTTCAGCACTTACCTCATTGTTCTAGTGTTTTCCAAGGACAAGGGAGTTATGCAGCAGCCTGTGTGTTTGTGTGTGTTTGTATGTCCGTATGGTGTGTGTGTTTGTATGTCCGTCTGGTGTGTGTGTGTGTGTGTGTTCTCTGGTGGTGCCCAGAGCTCAGAGCGAGGCCTCTTGTTTATTTGTGTGCTTCCATTATTTTTGAGGAATGCTGTTTTTCTGTGGAGCTGCAGGATGAAGGAGGGTGGGATGGGAATGAGGAAGGAGCTGTGGATGACGGACAGATGAGTGAAGGGAGACGTGGTTCCAAAGAACAGTTTTCTAAAGTGTTGACCTGTCACACGGGTTCATCATCTGATCATGCTTTATCACCTCCGACCCTGAGGAGAAGTGTTGATTTTGTGACTGTTAATCAGCTCGGTATTTTAAATAAGAATGCCAAAGAATGCCACCATGCCCAACCCCCCCCCCCGCCCCAAACCCCCCCCCCCCCCAAAAAAAAAAAACAGAAATGCTTTTCTGTTCTCTCCTCTGGTCTTCTCTCTTTATCTGTCCTTTCCCCATCTCTCCTCTTCTCCTCTCCTTTACGCTCCAATCCTCTTCTCTCTTTTCCCCTCTCTTCTTGTCTCCTCACCTTCTTCTAGTCTTGTCGTCTCTCTTCTCTCCCCCGTTTTCTGATTTTCTCTCTTCTTTTCTCCTCAATGCTCCTCTCATTTTCTCTCTTCTCACCTCCTTACCTCCCCTCTCCTACAGAGACACTGCTCCTCTCTCTGTTCTAAATGAGCTCTGACTCTCTGGACCTGGCTGATGTTCCAACTCCTCTACCAAGGATGTATAAATAAATAGATGAGGGAAAAAGAGGAGGAGAACTCAGGCCTAACAAAGGAGGCTATTGTTAAAACAGATCCATTGAAGAAGGCGGTGTGAGGGGTGAGGATGGAAGGAGTGCAGAAGATGAGAGGAGGATGAAGAAGAAGAAGGAGCTGTGAAGACTTCATCGTCAATGTGATCAATCTTAAAAACACACTCAGTACTGAACATTTTTAGAAGCCGCGGCCATTTTTATAGGTCTTCAGTGGTTCTAGTTAACATTGTTCCAGTTCCTGAAACATAGTTGTGTGTTGTCTATAAAGACTGTTCTGGGAACTGTTTCTTGTTCCTGGAAATAGTCTCTGTAGTTTTGAATTCTGTTTTTGTACATCCCATTGTCAGTGTGGTGTCCTGGAGTAGCCCTGTTCTGTCAGATTACACCTGCTCTCATCTTATATTAGGATTATCAGTTCAGTTATCCCACCCAGCTTCAATCTTTGAGAACCTCCAGAGTTATTCTGTTTTCTCCTTACATAGACTAGGAAGAACATGGCCTTCTTAGACCTTCTCTGAACCTTCCTTCTGATGTCAGTACAACTCAGAACAGAAGGACAAATGGTGGAGGACGAAGAGGAATGAGAGCAGAAATGTTTTTCTCAAATGTTTTTGTCCTTCAGTTCAGTTCTCTCTCTTCTGTTCTCTGAAGACGTCCACCTCTGTCTCTGTCACTAACTCTCCTTCTTCCTCTCATCGTGGCTCTTCTTTTCCCCATCTAAACTTTTCACCATCTCAGTCAGAGAATACTGTAAAAAAAAAAAAACACACACACACACTCTCTCTCTCTCTCTCTCTCTTTCTTCCTCCCAATAATGGGAAACAGACTGTTGGGTCTGTGAAGTGGAACAAGATTGATTACCTGTATCTAGTTACTAAACATACACATATTAGAGAGAGAGTGTGTGTGTGTGTGTGTGTGTGTCTCTCACTAAAAAGTGCTGTGAGTGTACCGTCTCTGTGAGGTGGTTCTGTTGGGTCCAGTCTACAGGATAATGATTTACAGTTCACTGACTGAGTAAGATCTAAAATGAGGACTGGGATCAAACAGTACCTAAGACTGTTGAAGCTTTGGACAGCAGGACTAATTTGTGACAACCAGCTTGAACCAGGGACAATTCTTGGATCTCTGTGCGTTTATAACAGTGATTAATAGTGATTAAACACTTTGTGTATTTCCACAGCAGCACCATTAGGCGCTAACAGTACCAGGAACAGTGTGTTGGTTTGTGACACATGACACAAACTGATTCCAGGATGAAGCCAGAAAGTACAGACAGTACCGGGAATCTTGTGTCTTCCCACAGAACCAGGAACCAAGAATGGTCCCTGGTACAGTTTACTGCCTCCAGTTTTCTTAGACGTTTATTTTTTTCTTTTGGAAGAGTGTTTGGGGGAATCTGCCTCCTGCAGGAGTTATCTTTCCCTTTTAAATTAAAAGCCATGGCGGGAGAATATTTTTGGAGGCCTTTGTTGCCTCCTGGTCTACTCACAGAGGAGGACAGCATGTGTCACTCACTTCCTCCTTCCACTCATGTTCTCTGTTCTTATTGTCTGATGTGACTCACTTTGGTTGAGTGCAGAGTTTGGGCATCAGATCAAAGATGGCATTGTGATCTGTGCTGTTTGATCACATCCACCCGCTCAGCAGCACCCGTTTTTCTCATTAACTGCTCCGATCCTCTCAGCTTTGACGTACTTATTGACCTCCGCCTGGTCCAGAGATTTGAGCGGCCAGAGGTCGGATATATGCCGGCGCCGCTGCCGAGCACAGGAAGCGGTGACTTTTAGGAGCGTTACAAAGTTTTCCCACAGAAACTTTGAAGGTGACTCACTGGAACTTAAACCGAACAATTGGGGAAAAACAATTTTATTGAATTATTTAAAAGCCATCAGGGGGCGCTATGAGGTTTAATAAACAATTGGCAATTGGCAAGAATTCAGAGAAATATTTCCTAAAAAATTAAGAATTTGTTGTTAGACTTGGACTAGACGCTGTCAAACCAGACTGAGGCCAACCAGGCTTCTGTAACAAGCACAACTTCTATACTAATAATAGAAAAAAAAAGTTTTTTTTTAAATCACAGTACATTTTTTATCTACTAAATTCACAGATTAGTACAAACTGACAGTACAATTTGTGTACTAAATATTCTATTTAAAACCTTTTTTAGGTGTCATCAGGTCGACTGTACAAGAGCTACTGTTACCTCTGCCAAGATTCAAAGTGCTCCAGTGACATAGACCCGTGAAACGTGTTGCACTGATGATGGAGACAATCAACCCCAAAAACAAACAACTCTCTCCAGACTGTTTTCTCCTTGTTTTGGATACCAGCTTCCATTAATCCATTCATTTCCAACCCAAACTTCCTGCTGCTCTGGGTTCAAATTTATTTTTACTTTGAATGATTCCAGAAGAATACAGGAGAGCTACTTCACTTTCCCATGATGCTTCACTTTCCTCAAATAGCTGCAGACTGTAGAGAACAGGACACAGTTTGCCCTCAGAGACATTGTTCTACAGTAAAACCTGTTCCATTTCCTCCACCCTCGGCTCCACCTCTTTATTCTAGGGACACCATCAGGGCTGAGTCAGACTAAAACAACAAAAAACAACCAAAATAACCTGAGGTCTGTGTTTATGAGGGTCAGTATGAAGTCGATAAAAAAGGTCACCGTCTTTAGAGTCAGGGGCTCTTCCTCTGCCATGGTCCTCATTTCCTGTCTGCCATTCTGCTCAGCTTTGTCAAATACATTTTTATTTGCTCTTTTTTACCAAAAGAGGTGTGGTGGACTTTGACCTCTGACCTCCCAACTGTAAAACACACACGGACACACAGAGGTGTGTGTTTCCATAAAATGTGATTGTGGTAAATGTGTTTACAAAGTTCAAATCCTTCACAGACCAGTGTCTTAGTAATTTTACATAAAATGGCAATGAAATGTATTTTATTGGCAATGACAGACGTGTCTATGTATACAAGGTTTAAAACTAGACATTTATCATATATTTTTTTTTATGTTTATTGTTGAATGTTTGACTCACCTGACACCTAATTTTATTGCACTGTACTGCAGTGTTTTATTTCTGTTTTATCGACACAACATTTCAATTGGATACAACAGTTAGTATGAGTTATTGCCAGTGAGTTAGTGCTAGTGAATTAGTGCGGGTTAATTAGAGCTGGTGTGTTCATTCTGTTAGGTTAAATTGGGGTGACGCTGTCTGTACCTAGTTCTGTGGTTCTTTGTTCAGTCTTGTATTTCTACAAACCACTGTCCTTGTGTCGACTCACACACTGTGACACACACTTTCATTGAAATCTTATCGTTGTTTCCTGTGTGTTTTAATTCTCTCCTCCAGGCGCAGATGCAGCGCTCTCTAGACATGTCCGTCTCCTCACAGCCTAGGCCTCTGATTGGACGTCGAGGCAGAAAAGAGACGGGGATGTCCACAGCATCGAGGATGGAAGCTGGAGGACACAGAGACAGTCTAACATCAGAACAGGACTCTGGAATTCTGGATGTTGAGGTCGAAGAGGAGGATGAAGTAAGAAAGACACAAGCAAACATGACTGAGAACACATGCAGCATAAAACTAAAGAAACAGTAAATTTGAAGACAGGCTAAAAGTCATCACTCAAGTCAGTTGATGGGAGATGTTTTCATCAGCAGAAAATTTGCTGTTTGAACTGTTTTAACACTAATTTGAAATGGTTTTGTTAAATACGTTGACTTGATTTAATGTTCATAAATAATTATTTTTTAAACGTTTATATTATCTGACACACACACACACTTAATATACACATAGACTCATAGACTTAGGTGAGCACACAGATACACAGGCAGAGAGGCCAGGATGTAGTCTAAGTACTGACGGACACGCTGAAGGATGGCAGTACTGTGCCCCAGGGGGTGCAGACTGGATCGTAACCTGCTCCCAGTGATAGCAGGGCAAGGTCAGGCTTTTGTTGGGAGTCAAGGTCTTTCTATGGAGAGGGTTGTGTGGAGTTGACAGGACGTAGACAAGCACAGAGGAGGAGGAAGGGAGCAGAGAGAGGAGAGAGAATTCTCTTTGTTTCTCTGCAGCCAACAACACGATGAAAGAAACTCTGACAGCCGCCCAGCCCTGCCCCCTCTGATCCCCTGGGAGACAACACCAGGAGTTCAATGTCATACTTGTGTTTGTTCAAAACTAATGTAAATGACCTGAGGGATGGCTGTAAAATGTTTTGAAATCGTCCAGCTCAGGGGCGCTGTATCTACCTCTTTTTACATTGGTAACAAGACACTTTACAAAAAATTGCCTCGTTGGTTCATTGTTTTTGTTTTTTTTTTTAATTCTGAAATATGTGTTGTTGGCTGCAAATGACAAAATAAGAATTTCGTTGCACTGTTTAAATGCTGCGTTCTTACAATGTACATGACAATATCTTGACCAAATCTTGAATCCTGATTCTTAAAAGTGTAACCAAAAACGATTGAAAGCTTTCCACAAGGTGATACATGATGTATGTGGAATGAATCGTTGGATTTTGATTCTGTGTTTTCATCTGTCCAGGTACCTGGAGCTCAGGATCTGGTGGACTTCTCCCCTGTTTACCGCTGTCTGCACATCTACACTGTTCTGGTCAGTTCATCTTTTTAATTGTCCATGTTCCTCCTCATTTGAACACCAGCCCTAACCTTTGAACTTAATATCAGAACATGGTTGGATGGATTCTCTGCCTTTCTAATTAAACTGGATTAAATGTGAAAGTCCAGGTGTTGATTTTCAATGTCCTGCTGATGTTTGAGGAGAAGGTTTGGGTTTGCAGCTTTGTCCTTTTTCACAGGTTTAGCTTTGTCATCTTCTTCCCTTTTTACTTGCATTTCAGTTAATTGTAGCAAAACAAAGCACAAAAAAATTAAGAAAATTTGCAGTTTTTTTTGTTCTTCAGCATCACAATTGAGTAAGTAATAACCCAGCAGAGAAACACCACAGAGAGTGGTAGGTGAGCAACAGTAACAAGTGTTTGTCCTGGACAAATGAATATAATTAGCTAAATGTTTACCCCTTCAACTTTGGTGAATGTTCTTTAAACTGTCTCAGTTCTGGTTATGCCACAAACAAAATGGACGAAAAGTGAAGTTTTCGAAATAGAAGGTTTGACGTGTGTGTGTTTACAGAAGGTTGTGACAGGGCCATCATGACCACGGAGTGACCTGTTTCTGTTCTCTGTATGTGTGTGTGTGTGTTTTTTGGGTAACAGGAAGTGCATGAACTTTGTCAGGAAGGTGAAAGTGAAGGATAGAGGGAGGGTATAAAGAAACAGAAGGAGGTCAGATAAAGGCCAAGAGGAGAGAAGATGATGGGAGAAAAAACAGGCAAAGATTGAGAGAAAGTTTAAATCAGAGGGAAGCAGAGAGAGTCTGAAGAAGAAACCAGATCAGTGGACACAATCCAGCATATGTGTTCAGGTTCACTGAAAGATGAAAATTAACAAAATATAATTATAATAATATACAGCTAGCCATAAGATAATTATCAGCCAAATATTAACACAAAAAAAAGTTTAGCCTGAAGAGACCAAAGAGCACAGAGCTAAAACGTTACAACACGTGAAGTTACTGCAGTAGTAGCGGTAGCAGTAACTGTTACAGCAGTATTAGCAGCAGTTACAGCAGTAGGATTGGCTGCTTTAACGGTTACTGCAGCTGTTACAGTGATCTGTCCAGTTTCACATTGTCAGCACTGTCTGGCCATTTTATCTATGAGCTCAGTAAGTTCTGTTGATCCTGGTCTGGTTCTTTGAAACAGTTCTGTAAAACACACACACATACACTTGTGTCATAGAAGGAAAGGATAAAGACATGCTAAGACGTTCTTATTCAAAAAGCTTCAGTTTCAGTTCTGTGCTCCAGACTGTGACCTCACCTGAAGACCCTGAACCCAAACCACTTTTAATCATCAAAGAAAACTGATTTTCTCTTTGTGTTTTTAAACTCATCCCCGCACTCCCATCATGCACTGCTGCGTGACCTCTGGTTGAACACACTGTTGTTGTTGTTTTCCTTTGCAGCTTCAGTAACAGCTCAGTTTGGTGTTCCACATCTAACACTCCTGCTGTGTTTTGACATGGTTGACACATTAGGACTTTGTCAGCAGTGGAACAAAAACCTAATCACCTCACATCACCACACAGTCCTTCTCCTGGTGCTCTAAAGCCCAGTCACGAGGACTCAAACACCTTCTGGACAGGACAGGTGGTGGCAGTGTTTAGATGTTCTGTTCTTTCTGGATGTGGATCTTAGTAACGGACAATTCTTCCATAGGGTTTGCATGATGTGTTTGAGAACTACTACAGAAAACAGAGGAGGAAACAAGCTCGACTGGTGCTGCAGCCGCACTCTAACATGGTACGACCTCCGACACTCACTCACCCACTGACTGTGTGTGTGTCTGTGTGTGTGTGTGTGGGAGAGAGAGAGAGAAAGAGAGAGAGAGGGGCACACATTCCTCTAACTACACCTGCTGCAGCCTCCTCAAACCCTTCCAACACTCCCCCACCTCCCTCTTGACACACTCATTAATCCATGTTTCAGTCAGATTCAGTTTTTTCTGTCTGTTTATTTGACTGTCAGGTAGACTCAGAGCTGACACCCATATCTCTCATCTTGATTATTGCATTTTTTTCTTTTCGCCCAATAAAATTCTTCCTTCCTTCTTTTTCTGCACTCCAGCATGAAACCTTAGAAGGATACAGGCGGTACTTCAACCAGATAGTAGGGTAGGTTTGTTTTACTTATCTGTTCACTGACTGGTCTAGAACTGTAGGTTCTGAATGTTCTGCAGATGAAGTTTTTTCTTCATTCCACTGTCTGTTACCTCAGGTTCTTTGTGGTGGAAGATCATGTTCTTCACACCACGCAGGGTTTGGTCAACAGGGCCTACGTGGAGGAGTTGTGGGAGCTGGCTCTGTCCAAAATTGTGGCTGCGCTCAGGACACATTCTGTGAGTGAGAACAGTATAACACCACCTCTGTTACCTCCGCAAAAGTCAAGTGTATTTATCCGTTACCAAATCTGACACAGCTGTGTGTTTTCTCTCAGTCGTACTGTGATGATCCTGATCTGGTGCTGGACCTGAAGAACCTCATTGTCGTGTTTGCTGATACACTGCAGGTAAATGACTCACATTTTCCATCATCACAATGACGTAAGATTGTATTAAATGTTCTCTGGTTTGTTCTGGACTGGTCTTGTTTGCTGTGATCAGTGCTGATTTGTTCTACTCTGCTCCAAACTGTTCTCTCCGTAGGGTTATGGTTTCCCTGTGTCCCAGCTTTTTGACATGCTGCTAGAGATCAGAGAACAGTATGGAGAGAAGAGGTGGAACATCACCTTCAGGTACTGGAGAAGACATCTGATCAGACTGACAAACACACACAGGAGGGACGTGATTGACAGATGTTGACATGGTGTTCAGTCCTCTAGACACTATTTGTTGCTCTCTAGTTCCATAAATTCACCATCAGAACCATGGTTATTTGACAAATGCAACCTACTCTTTTCTGGATCCTCACATTATAGGTTTGGGGATCTCACACAAACACAAACGCACACACTGCTACCAGTGTTGGATTGTGGGAAAGGTCTGGATCCTGGTTTTTGAAGTTTTTTAACGAGCAGTTAGAGACAGGAAGTGTTAAAAAAACAAACGTTCGGAACATTCTCTGCCCTTCAGAAGCAACAGAGGGGCACGACACCACCACCTCTGTGTGTGCGTGTGTGTCTCCATGTCTGCCATTGTTTGGCCTTTGCATTTGTCCAATGACACCAGAGGGATTTACAGTAGCAACCAGGCACAAACAATTGCAATTCGAACACACACACACACACACACACACATAGAGGAAGCCACAGGAATGTTGTCTTGTATTGTTAGACCCAGAGAGAGAGTGCTCTCCGGTTCACGGCCTCTCCATGGAACGCTGGAACGTCCGAACTCTGGAAGGCCAACAAGAAGAAAGAGGGAGGAAGAGGGAGGGAGGGGTGAGAAAAGGAAGGTGTTAAAAAACTGAAGCATTCAATGTTTTCAGTTCATTTACATTGTGTTTACTTCATGTTTCTTCGTAATGCACTTGCTCTCCCACACAAAGTCCGTAGAGAAAATGAGTGATTTTAGGCTTTGGTGTGATGAGCATTTGGAAGTCACTTTAGTGGGATTATATTGTGATTGTGTCATAAAAAAAACGATAAAATATTTTTTACAAAAAGTGCATTTTTTTTGTCATCCTCATTTAGATTTCTTTATTCGTCTTTTCCAGACAGGTGTTGGACCAGGATAACTACAGTCCTATCCCAGTGTCCACAGAACCAGAGTACAGACACTACACCTCCCAGTTTCCCCTGCAGGACCCTGAGCTGGAAAAGGTACAGTAGGTTAAAAACAAATCAAAAGTTAAGGAATCAAATCTATTAAATGAGGTCCAGAAAAGCTAAAAGTAGAAAGAAAATGTTCTTGGTCTCTTGTGTCCACAGCTTCCCTTCCCTAAGAAGTTGCCTTTCTCTGAATTTGTGCCCAAAGTCTACTGTCAGCTGAAGGAGTTCATCTATGCCTGTCTGAAGTATTCTGAGGACCTGCATCTCAGGTACAAACCAACACTCAATGTCCGCCACATGACAACACTGCAGCTGTTGGACCAAAGTCCACAGAGGAAATCAGTGATTTTAGCTCACAGACCAAAGTCCACAGAGAAAATCAGTGATTTTAGCTCACAGTCCATAGAGAAAATTGATGATTATAGCTCAAAAGAACTAGTCCAGTGCAGCCAGTCAGTTTGTATTATTAAGTTAATTTGAATGGAACAAATTTTGATTCAAGAAATCCTAAAATTAAACATTTGGACGAATTTTATTTAACTTTTATTTGACAAAATGAGCACACTGAACCTTCATAGAGAAAACCAATGGTTTTAGTTTCCAAAAGCCTGAACATACACACAGACACACAAGTTTCTTTTACATCGCTTTTTGCCTCAATTGTTCCTCTGATCAGACAGCACTAGTCGCTTAATCAGAGCAATGAGTTACCTTCAGTTCTTCAGTAATGCACACTCACACACTCACACACCAACATCTGAACAGATGCTGATGCAGACGCTGGAGTTAGGTCACGGTGTTTGGCCTCTGTGAACCCTGACCTTCACCTCCGTTCACATTTCTGATTCGTAGGAAAGAGAGCACGCTCCAGTGAGGAGCTGAAGTTTCCTCTGACACACGTATAACACTGCAGCTTCACAAAAAGCAGACCAAAAGAAACATGATCACATGATAACAATTAACTGCTTCCTCTGCTCGTTTGAACCTGAGTGTCACGTTAACTCTGTTTAATCCAGCATTGATTAAACTGCTTTGAAGGTCCAGCTAAATCCTAGCTCGACGTCCCATAATTCTGAGCCAAGTGTCTCACACAGTGATTCTTTTCATTCTTTTTCTTCCCTTTTGAACCAATTTTCCTTTGATTAGATGACTTTTTCCCAATCAGTCCTTCTACTCTTTCTTCCTCCGTCTCCTTCTTCTGCTCATTCAGTAAGAACACACACACAGAGACAAACACACACAACCGTTTGTGAATTTATTGAAAAATGCAGAATTGATTTGAGTATGAGACTCAAAAACATTTTTTTTAATTACATTGTTGTTTTGGTTACAACAATGTTTTGAAGTGTATTGAATAGTTAGCCGCTCTCTGTCCCACACCAAAGTCCATAAAGAAGATTAGTTGTGATCCTGGACCAGAATCGACTCTGTCTCTGAGTTAAAAATCCTTGTTTCCTCCATGGACCTTAGTGTGATTACAGGAGTGTGTGTGTGCGTCTGTGTCTTTCTGTCTGTCTTTGCGTGTCTGTCACTGACTGTTCACTGACATGCACTGACTCATAGCTGCTCTCTCTAATTTTTTTGTCCACTCTGCATTTCTGCCACTGCAGGAATTTTCCTCCCTACTGAGGTGGAACGTTTTTAGGATTCTTCTGATTTTTTGGGGGGCGGGGTGTTGAATTGAATTTCACTTTGCACTCAAGCAAATCATTCTCTGTGTGTATGTGAGACAGAGACATTCAGGTGATTTGTTTGGAATGCATTTATACACACACACACACACACACACAAACACAGAGACAAAGTTTCTTCTCCCTCTGTTCCCTTCAGTTTTCTCATTCTGCAGTTGCTTAAAGTTACCCAGATAATATACTTATTATATTTAGTCAAACAGTAGTATTGTTACAGAAAGAACTAAAGGTTAACCACAATAAACACTACCTAAGTTAAATTTTAACCAAATTCAATTAAAATGCTATTTAAAATAATTATTAGCCACAAAAGTATATATAAAAAAGCAAAAATAAACCAAACATAGGCAAAATTAAGATTAAAGTCAGAAAATTTTTTATGGTGTATTTAGATCAAATTAAATAAAAAAAAACAACCTTGACACTACCTTGATATTTAAAAAAAATCTAACCAGTGATCACGTGACTCGCTGTTTTTTCCCTCAAATAAAGATCTTTCACACACTTTGACTGTTCTGCCCCTCAGTCTGTGTGTGTGTGTGTGTGTGTGTCTCACTTCACACCCCAGCTCCACAGAGGTGGATGACATGATCCGTAAATCCACCAACCTGCTGCTGACCAGGACTCTGAGTCACTGTCTACATTATGCCATCAAGAAGAAGAACGTGGGCCTGGCTGAGGTATTTAAATTTAAAATGAGATTGTAGATTTGTTTTATGGTTATTGTTGTTTCTTTGCTATTTTGATGTAACAGTTCTTTTTTTCTGTGGGGGTCTCCAGCTGGTGCAGGTGATCATCAACACCACCCACCTGGAGCAAAGCTGTCAGTTTCTGGAGGAGTTCATCTCCAACATCACCAACGTTCCTGTGGACACTGTCAACGCCACCAAACTGTACGGAACGTCCACCTTCAAGGTCGGAGAACGCACCAGAATGCACACTTCCCTCCTTTCTTCCTCACTTCACCTTTTCATTTCTTTTGCTTCTTTTCAAAAGTGTATTTCTCCCTTTTGAACTCTTACGTCATCATCATCTTCACCATTTGCATCTTCGTCTTTTTTTCTTCTTCAGTTATTAACCCCTCACTCTGACCTTTGACCTTTGTCTGCTCTCTCCTGGCAGGATGCTCGACACGCAGCAGAGGCAGAAATCTACACCAACCTCAATGCTAAGATTGACCAGTTCCTGCAGCTGGCTGATTATGATTGGCTTTCACCTGTGCAAGGGGGCGGAGCTCTGGCTCCCAGTGACTACTTGGTGGATCTGATCACCTTCCTGAGGAGCACCTTCAGTGTCTTCACTAATCTGCCTGTAGGTCTTTATAAAAAAAAGACACCCAGACTGTGCTGTGAGCGCCCTTACTGCTACACAGACTGGCTGCCACTAGGAAACTGTAGTTTGTAAATTCACTCTCCCACACCAGAGTTCATAGATGAAATCAGTGAGTTTAGCTCACAGAGAGACAGTGGTAGGATGGTCAACTGCTGTCTCCCATGAGTTGTGTTTTGATACGAGTATTTAAAACTTTTTTAGGTTTTCTTTAGTAATAGGAGGTGAAATCGGTGATTTCCTTCATGGACATTTGCTATGAAGTGGGACTTTGTGTGCACATGCATGTGTCTGTGTTCATGCTAACTGCTGAGTCATGTCTCTCTGAGTCCTCCCAGGTCAGAAGAATCAGCTTTAGTGTATGAGTTGGTCCCAGGTCCCAGGTTAGTTGATAAACAGCGTTGTCTAAGCTCATTTAAGGGTGAGCGGCTCAGGTCAGTAGCAGGAGATTAAAGCTCAGATTAAACACAGACTCAGACGCCTGACTCCAGTCCATACAGCTGTACAGAGCTGCTGTAGAAACACACTGAGCATCTGTCATGTTTGAGTATGATTGTCAGCGGTCTCCACCCTCTGTTCTCAGCTCCACCGGTGACTGATTTTTATGTGAGATATATCATCGCTAACATGTAAAACTTAAGGATTATCTTTGTAAAATGTTTGACAAATGTAGCTTCTAATTACGTCTTGGCAGTTAGGTACCTTTTTACTATATCTGTTGGTCAGCTTTATTGTACGTTAACTAACTGTGGTCTATTGTCTGCCGCATTCGAGCAAACATTTGTCCTGTTTTAGCTCATTGTGGCTAAATGATAGCTACTTTTCCTGTATTCCTGTACTTTAGGAGGACTTTGGGACTTTACATAATGAACACACGCTTGCACACACTCACACACTCTGGCGGCGTGTTTAAGCTGATTGTATAGAGATTTGGTCCTGATCAGGTCACAAGGCCACACACACTGGGTGGTTGAGCTAAGTGTTTTTCAGCACTTTCTAAGAAGCTTTTCCTTCAGCCTCAGCCGCCCTGGACATGACCCCGGCACTCTGGAACACACACACACACACACAGACTCGGGGGCCTCCTAAGTAGATCAGATGCCATGGATCTAAGAGCCTGGTGGTGTGACCTTCAGGAACAGAGCAGATTCTGCAGTGAAATGAAGCAGATGTTGTTTAAGGCAGGAGACATGAGTCTGATCTGACTTCGCTCTGACTTTATCACTCTGATGTTTTCTTTAGAACATTAGAACCTAAGTCGACAGGACACAGATCAATGAGCCTGATTAACCAGAGGCCTGGGTTTGGAATGGCAGTAATAAGGATACAATAACAACACAGTCTGATTACGCTTATCTTATTTCTTAATGTAATTATCATTGGTCTAATAATATTGATAATGTAGACTGAAGAGTGGGCAGTCTAATGCTGTTTCTTGCCTAATTAATAGTTGTTACTTATCTTTTGTACATTTATATAACAATTATATTGGACTAAAAACAAAAATTAGCATTTTTAAAAAAAAATGTTCTCGTGGTAAATTTAAGACATGATCAGTCAAATGTTACCATCTTACTTTAGCCTGTTATGTTAATGTAGATAATTAATAACAACAGTTTGAAAACAAAGAGAAGAGTCATCAATGACAGTAGTGCAGTGATATAGACTGGTTTATTCACTGGTTCCTCCGCTGGTTGATTAGCTGGTTTATACACTGGTTCATTGATGACCTGATGATCAGTGAAGGTGACAGTTTCTGGTCTTTTCTCCATCTTAGGGAACGTCTACTGAACACCCCACTCTGCCTGTGAGTATCTGTGGTTGCTGTGGTAACAGGTTGTTGTGTGCTGTTTTTTAACTAATCCCTGACTACATTTTGACCTCCACCCACCACCCCACCTTGACTCAACAGTTGACCGATCAGCATGAGCAGGAAGAGATGAGTGACACACGTTTCTTCGATCTATGTTTTTTAAGAGCTTGAAAATTTGACCCAACCACTGACATGAGTTGCTGTGACTTCACCAAAGTTTGCTGTTTTTGTGGTTTGGTTGACTGGTTTATTTGGTTGTTGGTTTTATTGCTTTGGTTGAGTTGGTTGATTTTTTTCTGTTAATTAACTTGGTGGGTTTGTTGGTTGGTTTATTTTTTTTGTGTGTTTTGGTTGGTTTGTTAGTGTCCAGGGTAGACCAGACTCTGCAGATCCTGGTTGTTGTTGTTTTTCTGGTTGTAGAAAACCCTCAGAGGAGTTCTTCAGACTCAGACCCTCAGAGGAGTTCTTCAGGTCAGATCTTGGCTCCTCCCTCTGACATGAAGTATCTTGGTTTGTCGTCCAGTTTTCACGACTCTCTCTTCTGTCTGGGGTCACCATCAAGGACTGATGTTCATCTGACCAGTGTCCTGTTCTCCAGCTTTTCCTAGTTCGTGAATCACAATAATCACCTGAGGAGCTCCTCTCTGTCATTTTCCAGGCCACAGATTTGTTTTTTCTTCTTGTGTTTCCACCTCTTTGACTTTTGGACGGCCTCTCTCTGGACTGACATCTTTCTGGACAGACACAGAGCAACGTTCCCGTCAGCTCCAGGAGTCATGAATCAGGGCATTGCAGTTATGTTTTAAAATAGAACCAGCGGCATCTTTCCCTCTAAGTTGACCTGCTTCCTGGAGCTGAATTCACCTGGGAACATTTTCCTCCACAACACTGAACATCAATCTGCTGATCAGAACACACACACACACACACATATATATATACACACACACACACACAGACACACTTGTGCAGCTCCTAACAGACTTGTCAGATACGTTTGACTGTTTTTATTTCAGCAGTTTAAAATTAGACCAGCGGCGACGTCAGAGAGGAAATTCTTGACTCCGAGTTTGTGGATCTGAAGGTGGTTTTTTAAACATACTTTGGCTCAGACAGAACCTGTTTGGTTTTCTACAAATGTGTGTCTATACCAGGAGTAGAGACTAAGACTGAGCACAAATACACTGATCCAGAATGAACAGAGAAAAGGAAATGTTGACAATCACCTGGTTCTCTGGATGTGATTTAAATATTTGAAAAGGAAAGAGGGGGTGAAAGCAAATATGAAAGTGAAGACCATAATTCAGTTTTAATTATTTGAATCAATAATTATTATAACCATCAGTAATGTTAATGATTTAACAGCGGTCTGACATTTGAGCAACCACAAAGTTAGAGTGGTGAGGTGAAAGTGAAGGCAGCTAGTGCTGCGGTGTATTACGGAGCCGTACATGTTGAATTCGTTCTCTGTTAGTGGGTGTGAGTGGTCTTAATGGTCTGAGACCTCCGCCTCTGCTGCTGCTGCTGCTGCCGCCTCTGCTGCTGCTGCTGCTGAGTGGAATGAATGTTTGAGTGCATGTCACTGAAGAGAACTGATGACTTTCAACCACTGAATTATTAAAGATGACAACTTTTAGTGGGTTTCTTTGATACTTGAACAAATGTGATCCTTGTTGAATAATTCCTCAGCCACTCTTGGAAATTAGTAAAAGTAATTCCAGGAAAAGATTCAGACAAACATGTAAATCTGCTGCACTGATCATGTCCAGACCTAAAATTTCAGGAACACTATTTAAATACTGCCTGGTGTGGGTTTGTTGCAACATGTGAAGGAAACAGTTCAAACTAACATATTTTAACTCTGTGTAAGAGGCAGATGTGGCTCAACATCAGGTGTGAGCTTGAAGATAAAATCACTCATTTTCTCTGTGGACTCTGGTGTGGGGTCAGTTTGCCAGTTTCTCCTTGTTCTGTTGCCTTTTGATCTCAGTGTTTCATTCTGTTGGAATGTAGACCTAAAGGGCATGACCAAAGCCACTCTGCACACACACACACACACACACACAAACAAACATATATGTTTTTATATTAATGCATCACCATGTATTTTTCCATCTGTTGCTCTGTTTCTTACTGCACCTGGACACACCCAGTATCATTAACATGGCTTGCAGTGTGTGTGTGTGTGTGTGTGTGTGTGTTGCTGTAGCTATGGCCAGACTGAGCCTTCAATTAGGTTCTGTAGAATAGTCTTTTTGAAGCGGCTCCTGAAGATTGTAAACCAATCGCCGTGCTGCACCAAACCAAGGAGAACTACAGTAGTTGATGAATCACCTTTTCCTCCATCATCAAGTTTAAATGTGTAATTTTGTGACTTCACTGTTTGAAATCCTTAGTTCAGATTGACCCCAGGGACACAAACTGACCACAGGAGGCAGCAGTGCTCCTGCAGCCCCTGAGCTAAAATCACAGATTTCTCTATGGACTTTGGTGTGGGAGACTTAGAACTGGACCTAACAGAACAGTAATGAGAATCTGGCGGGTTTGCAGTACAACAGTGTGCAGTGAAGTGTTTTAATGTGCTGTAAAACTGTCAAACTGACCCCACTCCACCCCCCCTTCTGACTCTCCCCAGGGTAAGGTGGCTCAGACGGCCTGTATGTCGGCCTGTAAACACATCTCTACGTCTCTGCTGCAGTTGCTCCTAGATCCTGAATTACGTCAGATATCGATGGGCGCTCTGCACCAGCTCAACGCTGACATCTCCGAGTGTGAGAGTAAGTGCCAACACACACCTGATGCTGAAACTTCATGTTCTCAGCAGCTGCCTTCAGTGTACATCAACTTCTTCTTCTTTTCCAGTCAATCTTAACAGTTCAGCACACACACACAAAACTCACAAACATTTATCCCTGATATAATAAATAATAATAATAAAATATTGGAAATATAAATAATTTAGTAGTAAATAATAAATAATATGGAATATTTTCAATAATATTATTTTATAAAAGTTTTTACGTATAAAAAATAATGATATACAACTTTACATGTATTACTGTGGTAAATTTTATTTTTTACATATATAGAAGTTAAAAAAACATTTAAAAAACATTCATATTAAATTAGTAATAAAAATGTTATATTTGCAGAAAAAAATATCCTGAAAATATATAGAAATATTTAACATTTATTTTGCAGTATTTTAATAGATGAAAATAGTGAAATTGATGCATAAACAAATTATTAGTAAACATAAAAATAAATTTAAATAAGAATTAAACTATCTTTAATTTCAATAAAACAAGTTCAACTGAAAATTAACCACAGGGGGCGCAAACAGACTATAGTAGTATGGCAAAGTTTAAGTTGTGTGTGTTGTGTGTGTGTGTGTTTGAGACAAGCATTTCCACAGTCAAAGAATAAGTGAATGAGAAGTGAGTAATTTCAGAGATGAGAGGATAAAAAAAGAAACAAACCAGAACAGAGAGTTTTAGCCTCTGTGGTGAAGGAGCCACAACACCAGGAGGTGAAGCAGAACGTGGTTTCTGTGGGATAAAAGTGAAGAAGGAAGTGGATTTAAAAGAGTTCTGATGAAAGAGAGAGAGGAGGATGAAGGATAAAAGAGCAGAGAGTAGACGGAATGAGATTAAATGAAAAAGGAGGTGTGAAATTAAAAAAGCCCCAGAATTAATCCAAAGATGAGAGGAGGGATTCAGGGGAAATTACCACTGGGTTAGAAGGAAGGAAAATAGAGGGATTAGAGAGTAAAATAAAAAAATAAAAAAATCAGGGCGGAAGATTAAAGAAAGACTGAAGACATGAAGAAGACTGTGTGAAGGAGGAGAGAACATCCGTTACTCAAGGAGGTAAAAATACTGAAGCCCAGAGAGGGTCAGGCCTTCATACAAATGTGTGCTCGTTAAAGAAGTCTAAGACTGAGACAGGACAAGGCAAGACAAGTCCAGTCAAAGGTTTCTGCAGCAGTAGATAATGAGACCGAAAAGTGGACAGGAGTGGAGGAGTTTACATTATTAACATCAGAGAACAACGGAATAAATAACACCTGAGGTAAACTGGAGGAGACCTTATCTGGGGCAGTTTGGTTTGAGACGGGTGAAACTGACATTTGCTTGGGTAGAGATGCTGTTCTAGAGGATGGAGCCTGAAGGAGAAGCAGTGGGCGAAGAAGAACCCTGAGGTGCACCACAATTGAAGGAAATTATCAGTATATATGAAGTCAGTGTGTGTGTGTGTGTGTGAGTGTAAACAGGGTAGTGATCAGGACCAGAGCTAAATGGTCCTGGTCGTGTAAACGGCCCAGTGAGCAGTGTTTGGTTCTAAGCTCTGATTGGATGTTGGCTTGTACTGGTTGTTAGACTGAAGACAGAGGACAGAAGGTGAGGAGTGTTACTGTTCCTCTGTTTCTGTGTGTGTGTATGTGTGTGTGTCACAGGGTCACTGGAGATGGCAGGCGTGTAATCTGTGTTTGTGTGTGTGTGTGTGTGTGTGTGAGGAGAAGAGGATTAGCTTCAGACTGGTTTGCAGTTCTTCTTCTCTTTTTTCCCCCTCACTCACAAAAAAGAAGTTGGCGTGTTTACGGAGACCAAGTAACGCAGAGACCCCGAGCTCACACTCTCTACGACCCCGACAGTGACGCAAATAAATACACACACACACACACGTTAGCCTGGGCTCAGCATCCACGGCAACTGTTGACTGTTTATAAAACATGGTCTTTAAAATATTTACAAGTTGTTTTTTAAGTACTACACATCAAAGCTAAAATGAACAATTTAACAAAACAGCCACTCATTTGTCTGAGGAGAAAAAAGCCGAAATAGAGAAGAATTTTTTTTTTTTAAACAATAGATCTTGATCCATTGCAATGAAATGGTGAAATAAGCTCAAACTAAGACAAGAAAAAAAAAGCACTGCTTGAAAAAAGACACACGCACACTGAAACACACACATGCACACACTCAAACCCCCCCTCTTCTTCGTTCTCCTCCTCTTCTCCCTCCTTCTCCTCCTCCTATCATTTGTCTGCCAGTCCATCACCATGCATAGCAAATGTGACCTGCTCTTTTATTATTATTCACTTTTTCACCCCCCGCCTCCCCCTTCATATCCTCCCTCTCTCCGGGGGTGGACTGTGATTGTGGTGGGGGTCTCTCCCTCTCCTCTCCTCTCTGTTTTTTCCCACAGGTTTTGCCAGAGCCGGCCCGGTCGCAGGCTTCCAGGGTGACACGTTGCTTCTGGCCTTCAGTGACTTGAGACAAGTAGGTCTTTGTCTCCATCCTGCTCCTCTCTGCTCTTTCTCCTTCTTTTAAAAATCCACTATCTTCTTTCTTACCTCACTCCCACCGTCCCACTCTCCCAACCGAGTGTTTTCTCTTCTCCATCTTACAACGAGTCTCCAGATTAGTGGTGAAGTCGAGGACTGAGTGGTTACTCATTGGTTCTTATCTACATCTTGTCAAGTCAGTGATGAATTGACTTCATTTTCAAGAAGAAAGTTTTTCTATACCACTCACTACCCCACACCATGGCCCATAGAGAAAATCATTGATGGCCGCTCACAGAGATACAACAGTTGATCCACTGCTGCCTCCATCACTGAGTTCAAATGTGTTATTTTGGACTTCACTGGTTAAAATGTTCAGGTTTAAGGTTAGGGAGTCCTCTGTTTCTCTCACAATGAGGAAACTCAAATCCTAGAGTCTTAAACTGACCACAGGAGGCAGCAGTGACCCATAGCTGCTGTGTCTCTGTGAGCTAAAATCACAGATTTTCTCTCTGGACTTTGGTTGAAACAGTGAGACACTGGCTGCGGTTGAAGCTCAGTGTTGGGTTGTTTGCTTTTCTTGTCCTGGGAAAACGGATCAGAACCAGTGAGTGAGGAAATAGAACTGGACGGGTCAGTGAGAACATGGTGGTGCTGGGCGGAGCGTGCGTTCACATACACGTGTGTGTGTGTGTGTGTGTGTTTTATTGTGCTTTTATTTCATGTTTATTAGATAAAGTTGCATGCATGCAGAATGTGTGCATGCATGCGCATGGTTGTGCGTGCTGGCATATGTGTGTGTGTGTGTGTGTGTGTCATGTTGAATGTGTGAATCAGGGCGAGGAGAGAGTTTTTTTTAAGTCAGTGTGAGTGGAAGCTGCTCTTTGATGTGTGTTTGTGGACGTTTTTGTTGTTGTGTCACTGTGTGTGTGTGTGTTTTGCGTTGATGTGTTGTGCGTCTGTGTGTGTGTGACAGCGGATGACGGATGGGCCTGCAGGACGGAGCAGCAGAGGATGAATGAGCTGACAGACAGAGACTGATGGCCCTTTATCCCTCCATCACAATCCCTCTTTCTCTCCTCCTCTCTTCTCTTTCTCCGCCTGTCGGGATGATGCAGTGCCTCTTGTTTTCCACTCGGAGGAGGAGGAGAAGGAAGGAGGAAGCGAGGGAGGGAGAAAGATGGGGAGAAGAAGAAAAAAAAGAAACAAAAATTTCATTTATCTGATAGCATCCATGTTTTCTTCTAACCCTCCTCCTCACCCTTCCCCTCCCTTTCCCCTCTTTCTCCACTTCTTTTATCCCCTTTTGCCTCCTCTTCATCCACTCCATTTTCTTAATTATCTCCTTATTTTCCATTTTTTTCTTGCTCCTCTTCACGGTTCTTGTCTTTTCCTCTTCATCATCCTTCTGCTCTGTCCAAAGAAGCCTGACCCCTTGTGTGTGTGTGTGTGTGTTTTTGTGTGTGTGTGTTTTGTGTGTGTGTGATCCAGATTCTCAGGAGCAAACTTTTTCACAGTTGTTCGTTGACATGTGAACTTTGGTTTTGTGCTCATTGGTTGGTTTTTATACACTGATGTGTGTGTGTGTGTGTATATGTGCGCGTGCGTGTCAGACACAGAGGTGACGGTGAATAATGATTCGATAAATCACACTGACGGGGGTCGTTTGTTGTGTGGTCAGGTCCCGGTGTTCTGGAAGGTTCCGGGGTCCTGGGACAGAGCCGAGACAGGAGTTCCCTCCAGGACACACAAACCGCACAAAAATGCACGCGTAAACACACACACACGTGTGGATGCAAACGGCATCAAAAAAATAAGATTTAGCTGTGAAAGCGAAGGTGAGAGAAACAACAACGATCTAATTTTTAGTTTTAATCTTGTTTTTAATTTAAAGATTAAACTGTTGAACAAACATTAACGTTTTAAATGAACTTCAACAATAATTCTACATTTACTTTAGGAATCGATTTTTTTATGTTTAATAAATAAATGACTGACATCTCTATTTTTATGATTTATTCTTTAAAATGACAAATTATCAGACCAGAAATAATTAAAAATCAAAGATGATTTATATTTTATTTATCAGATCCACTTCAGAAAGCTAAAAACTGATTTATTTTACTGAAAAACATTTAAAAACATTTTCATTGACTATCTGATAGACTGACTATCTGTGAACTGATTTAATTCAAGATTGTTCGATAATAAGAATAATCAAAAAATAAATGCCTGTCTTTTCGGAACATCTCAAAAAAGTATGAGTACATTTTCAAGGTAAATTATTAAATCCCAGGAACCACATCTTCGCCGGTAGCGGCCTGTTAACAACAGCTCTGCTGTTAATGCAAGAATTATCCAAATTGGGATCAATAAAGGTAAATTTTTTTAATTACAATTTAAAAAAATATATAATTTTAGAATAAATTATTAAAATAAAACATAGATAACTTTTGTAAGCTGATCAAACTCTAACATGAATTTGCTGAACACCAGGAATTTTTTTTCTTGCGAAATTATTGTTTTGTAATTTTTAGAAATTCATTATCACAGAGTTTGTTTGTTTTTTAAATTTCATTACCACTAAATTCCACGGAAGGATTAGAAACAAACTCCTATGTTTGGTCTCATGGTTGAAGTTTATTGTTTTTCATCCTCTAACTTAGCTTAATTTTTATGTTTACATTTAGATTTTGACGATAATTATTGTTTTTATTCTTAGAAAAAAATTCAGTTACTTTTGACTTAATGTAACCAGTGGTTTTAAATTGTTTTAAATCTACAGCAAATTCAAAAGAACTGTGAAGCAGTTTTATTCATTAGATTTAAAATTAGTTTTTGAGATAAAAGTGTGTGAGGGTCTGTCTGTCTGTGTGTGTGTGTGTGTGTGTGTGTGTTTCTCTGTATCCCTTCTTCTAAATTTAGAACATTCAGGTGTCTGTGGTTCTATTTTCAAACCACTGGCTGCATATGCGGTATAAGTGTGTGTACTCGGGGATGCATGTTTGTGTGTGTGTGTGTGTGTATGCTCATATTGTGGTGTGTGATTTTTACTCCCGCTGCTTCACTTTATTCTTCATGTTCATATTTTTTTACTGTGTGTGTCTGTGTGTGTGATGCTGCAGTCACTAACGGTTCTGTGGTTGATCGTGGGGTGTGTTCCATTCCCCTGGTCGGCCACAGTCATTCACCGTCACACATTCCATCCATCCATGTCTTCCTTTTTCTTCTTTTTACAGCTTCACCTTCTTCGCATCATCTGCACTCCCCTGCTCCTTCCCATTCTCCAATTCATCTTCACCTCCTCCTCCTCCACTGCCACATCACATTGGCCAAATTATTAGACATTTTTTTGTTTGTGTTGCTTTAATGGAGGAATTTCATCTCTACTCTGTGTGTAGAGTCTTGTGTGATGTGTTTCCTGCAAGAGTTGAGTTTTTTTTTTTATTATTCTCTTTTTATTAGTTTGTCTGGTCTCTCTTCATCTCCAAGAAATGTAGTGGAGGAGGAGAACTTAAGGATGGGCGGAGGTGTGGAGGCAGAACAGACAAGCGGGTTTGCTTCTGTAGATGTGTGAAACTGTGGAAGGAGAAGGAGAATCAGTGAAAGAGTTCAGTCAGGTGAAAGTGATACCACCACCAGGGTGGTCTCTCTCTGTTTCTCTCCCTCTCTCGTCAGGAGTCTGACACGTCCCTTCATCCATGTGACCGCTCACAGAAGGGTGGATGAATGGACGAGTGGAGACGGGGTGAAAAAGCGAGATAAAGGCTGAAGGGAAGGATGAGCAGCAGACGGACGTTTAAATGAACGCCCGTCGATCTATTGGTACAGACAGCGAGTAGTGGAGAGACCAGTGGGGGAGAGAAGGGGAACTCGGTCTCCCACACCATGGAGAAAATTTGTATTTACCACATCGAGGCAGAAGTTTCATCACTAAGTTTAGATGTGTTTTTTGTGACTTTGCTGTTGTATAGATGTGTAGATGTGGCCTCACCGACGCAGGAGGCAGCAGTGGACCGACGTCTTCTGTGTCTCTGTGAGCTAAGTGTTTTTCTCTGTGGACTCTGGTGTAGGGCAGTGAGTGGTTTAACGCCAGTTTCCTGGTGGAAAAGTCTTCTTCCTCTTTCTGTTGTGATTTGTTGGCGTCGTCCAGCCTCATGTCTGGGTCAGAAAAATAAGGCTCAGTCACAAACATGAGGGCAACAGCAGGTCATTGGGATAAGAAGCACTTATCTCATCACACACACCCATCCACACACACACATACACATATATCCACCTGTCACCACTGTCTGATTCCAATTAGAGTCCCAGTTCTTTCCCTCTCTCTCTCCCTCTTTCTCTCTCTCTCTCGGCCTCTCCCTCACCTTCCTGTCCCCTCGTTGCTCCTGTTCTTATCGCGGTGACAGCAGGTCAGAGTGTGGTCAGCCGCAGGAACAATACTGCGATCTGATTGGACAGGAATGGCCGATTTCCCACCAATGGTCATGCGGCGGTCACAGGAATTGGTGTTGCATCCATGTTAAGTGACGTTGACTGAAGACACACGCACAAAGCGGTACAAATCATCAGTCAGAACAGGACCAGTCCACATGGCCCTCGACACAGTGCTCTGTGACCTTGTGTGGACCAGTTCACTGTTGTCTTATCAGTCAGAGGGTCATTCTCACTGATGCTGCTGCTGCTGCTGCTGCTGCTGCTGGTCTCTGCCTGTGTGTGCCTGTGTCAGTGTGTCTTCCACAGGCTAACCTTAAAAACCCAGGATGTTGTGTCAAGTGAATTTGTTGAAGTTATCACTAATTCTTGTGCTTCTGAAACACAATAACCAATGGTTTTATTTTATTCACTCTATTTAAATTGTTTAAATTGTGAGGCTGTTGTGACTTCTAACAGCTGAGTTTTGACCTCTGATCATGAGTTTGGCCTTTGGCCTTTATTTGAATTTCGTAAACATCTGACTCACAGTGTGTTGTCATCTCTGTTCTGCAGTAATGTCCAGTTAGTCTCACTCTTTTGTCCTCCTATTGCTCTTCTTTAACATTTGCGCCATCACTTTCTCTCTCCCCCCTTTCCCCTGCTGTCATCCACCTCTTTATATTATATTTTATCATTTTCTATTTCCTCTGTTTCTCCATCTTTCTCCCTCTCTCCTCCCCCAGTCTGTGCACTGTCCCCTGACAGCTCAGACCTCAGTTTGAACCAGTGCTGATCTTTTCTCCTTTACTTTTTTTGTTCTCTGTTGTTTTTTGTACATAGTTTGTTTTATTCCAGTATTTTCCACCTTCCACTTCCACAAGTGTGTGACGTAGATCAAAGTTTAAGTTTAACAATCAGACACCAAAAAATGTTGTTTGTTTGTGTGTGTGTGTGTGTGTGTGTGTGTGTGTGTGCATGCATGTGTGTGCGTGCATTTGTGATGCTAACATGATTGACAGGAGTGGGTCCTGTCCAGGTTTGGATTAATTAAAATACTATACCAATAAGATCCT